AAATGTTTTTATTCAGAATGATCTAAGGGGATGAGATAAAGCACAATTCACACAGAAGGATCTGTGTGGGAGACCCCGGAGAGGTTCAGCTGCTAATTGTCAGCGCTGTTGAAGTCAACTACCATGAATCTTCTCTGAATTAGATTTGTAACGCAGCTGCCATTTCTGACTTGTTATGTTTCATTCTTTCTGTTACTAGGGTGATTTGGGTGAGGCTACAAAGAGGAGGCAATATTTTATTGGCTAGTGGTTTGAGGCCGTATTCTAATTGGCTGACGCTGTGCATATCATTTTGTGAAATTAAAAAAAACGCCTACTAGTTCTTGCATTTTATGCTGGTGGGAACCATAGGATCTAGATACAGAGTATCTGCTATCGGCCTACGTACCCGCAGGCAGGCATTTCACCAGGGTTCTAGACTCAGAGTACCTAGTCATACTTAGCCTTGGCAATATGAACACTTCTTCCCCTTCCCATCACCATGGAGCCATGTTCCCATTTTATCCTAAAAAACAAACAAACAAACAAAACACCCAAACCAGGTTATATGTCATCTCAGTTGTCCTATCCTTAGTCTATTCAACCATTTCCAGTTAAGGAGAGACTGGGATTTGAGAGTGGTTGTATCCATTAAGGTCTTTGGTTATTAGCTGTGGCAATAGTTGAAACTTAAAAAGGAAATATATAATAAAGATATTGTGGAAGTCACAAAACCTATGCTCCTTAGTCTAGGAGTAGGAAAAAGCCAGGGCAGGACCTATTCCACTATCAAGGCTCTGGGTGCTAAAAGAAATGAGGTTCAAATCTTTTTTACCCCATAAGCCACTTAACTACTTCTTAGATGTATGAGATAGTAAGAGGAAGGTTCTGGAAGGAGCCTCTAGTGCTCCTTCACCTTATGCAGTGAAAAGATTGGGTGCTCTGATTTATTCAAATTCTAGGAAACACAATTGAGGAAAATATAACACTTCAAACAAAAAAAATCCGGGCCTTATTACAAAGAAGGGGAGAATGTGGGCAAACAAAAGCAACAAATGGCTGGGCACGGTGACTGATGCACTTGGGATGCTGAGGCAGGTGGATTGCCTGAGCTCACAGGGTCTTGTGGGTTTTTTTTTTTTTTTTTTTTTTGAGACAGAGCCTTAAGCTGTCCTCCCCTGGGTGGAGTGCCGTGGCATCACAGCTCACAGCAACCTCCAACTCCTGGGCTTAAGTCTCCTGCCTCAGCCTCCCAAGTAGCTGGGACCACAGGCGGCTGTCACAACTCCCACCTATTTTTTGGTTGCATCCATCATTGTTGTTTGGCGGGCCTGGGCTGGATTCGAACCCACCACCTTATGTGTATGTGGCTGGTGCCTTGGTCACTTGAGCCATAGACGCTGAGCCGAGCTCACAAGTTTGAGGCCAGCCTGAGCCAGAGCAGGACTTGGTCTTGAAAAATAGCTGGGCATTGTGGCGGGCACCTGCAAGAGAACCACTTAAGCCCAAGAGTTAGACGTTGCTGTGAGCTGTGATGCATCAGCTCTCTACAGAGGGCAACATAGTGAGACTCTGTCTCAAAAAAAAAAAAAGAAAAGAAAAGAAAAGAAAAGAAAAAGAAATATTTTGAAAGAGAATGAACACAGGCTTTCTGAACAAGGATAAATGGAAAATAACTTTAAGGCTTAGTGCCTGTGGCTGAAGCCACTAAGGCACCAGCCACATATACCTGAGCTGGAGGGTTTGAATCCAGCTTGGGCCCACCAAACAATGATGGCTGCAACCAAAAACTAGCTGGGTGTTGTGGTGGGCACCTGTAGTCCCAGATACTTGGGAGGCAGAGGCAGAATAGCTTGAGCCCAGGAGTTGGAGGTTGCTGTGAGCTGTGATGCCATGGCACCCTACCCAGGGCGGGAGCTTGAGGCTCTGTCTCAAAAAAAAAAAAAAAAAGAAAGAAAGAAAGAAAAGAAAAGAAAAGAACTTTAAAATGGAAGGAGTTGCTATAACAATAAAACACTAAAGTACAGTGGCTGAAACAAAATGAAAGTTCATTTCTCACTCAAAGAACAGTTTAGAGGTAAGAAATCCAAAGCTGTCATCTTCAACATAAAGCTTCCATCTTCATTTTTTTTACATTCCTCCTCATACATATGTATGAAAGTATCTCTAGGCTAGGCCTGGTGTCTCACGCCTGTAATCCTAGCACTCTGGGAGGCTAAGGCAGGAGGATTGAACTCAAGACTTCAAGACCAGCCTGAGCAAGAATGAGACCCCACCTCTACTAAAAATACAAAAATTAGCTGGGTGTTATGGAGTACACCTGTAGGCACAGCTACTCAGGAGACCAGGCAGGAGGATCGTTTGAGCCCAGGAGTTTTGGTTGCAGTGAGCTACAGTGACACCACTGCACTCTACCTGGGGTCCAAGGTACAAGCTTACATGCTTAGGAGTGGAATAATTGGATTATGAGGCATTGTGTATCTTTAGTTGTATCAGATTGTCAAATTACTCCTTTTTTTAACTTACTCTGTCACCCTTGGTAGAGTGCTATGGCATCATAGCTCACAGTAACCTTAGACTCCTGGGCTCAAGTGATCCTCTTGCCTCAGCCTCCCAAGTAGCTAGGAGTACAGGTGCTCTCCACAATGCCTGGCTATTTTTAGAGGTGGGGTCTCTATATAAAAATACAGTTGAGGGCTCAGTAGCTATAGCTCAGCAGTAGGCTGCCAGCCACATATGCCAGAGCTGGCAGGTTCGAACCCAGGCCAAGCCTGCCAAACAACGACAGCTACAACAAAAAAATAGCTGGGTGTTGTGGTGGGCACCTGTAGTCCCAACTACTTGGGAGGCTGAGGCAGGGTAATTGCTTAAGCCCAAGCGTTTGAGGTTGCTGTGAGCTGTGACACCATAGCACTCTACCAAGGGTGACATAGTGAGACTCTGTCTCAAAAATAAGGCCAGATGTGGTGGCTTATGCCTGTCATCCTAGTACTCTGGGAGGCCAAGGTGGGTGGATTGTTTGAGCTCAGAAGTTCTAGACCAGCCTGAGCAAGCTGGAGACCCTGCCTCTAAAAATAGCTGGGCCCTTTGGTGGGTGCCTATAGTCTCAGCTACTTGGGATGCTGAGGCAAGAGGAGTTTGAGGTTACTGTGAGCTATGACACCATGGCACTCTACCGAGGGCAAAATTGAGACTCTGTTTCAAAAAAAGAAACATAGGTAAACTAGCCAGGCAACATGGTGGGCTCCTATAAGTCCCAGCTACTCAGGAGGCTGAGACAAGAGGATCACTTGAGCCCAGGAGACTGACATTGCTGTGAGGTTTAATGACACCACGGCACTCTACTCAGGGTGACAGAGTGAGACTCTGTCTCAGGAAAAAAAAAGGAGTAATTTGATAATCTGATATCTAAAGATAACAATGTCTTATGACGCAATTATTCCACTCCTAAGCATGTAAACATGAAATATTATGCAGCAATGAAGGTAAATGAACTATAGCTACATATATTAACAGGTGCATCTTGCAAACATAACTCAGCACAAAAGAGAAAGTTGTAACTTACATATAACCAAGAGAATTAAACAGAGACTCAAACAAATATTTTGCATCTGTGTTCATAGCAGCATTATTCACAATAGTCAAAAGGTGAAATGAACACAAGTGACCATCAACAGATGAATAGAATCTTAAAATGTAGGATATATGTACAATGAAATATTACTCAGCTTCAAAGGGAAGGAAATTCTGACACACACCACATAGATGAATCTAGAAGACATTTTTATGTTAAGTGAAATAATCATTTGTCATAAAAGGACAAAGACTATATAATTCCACTTATGTGAGGTACTTAGAGTAGTCAACTTCATAGAGACAAAGTAGAATCATGATTGCCAGAGGCTGGGGGAATGAGGAATTATTGTTTGCTGGGTACAGAGTTTCAATTTGGGAAAACAAAGTTCTGGAAGTAGATGGTGGTGAGGGTTGCACAACATGAGTGTACAGGAAGCCACCGAGTGTATGTTTAACATGGTAAATTTTATGTTATGTAAACAATAAAAAGATTATATACAGCATAATTTCATTTATAGGCAGCTCAAACACATAAGTAATAGGTAAAATTGTAGTGAAAAGCAAGAGGATGACAAAGAAAAAATCCAGAATGATAGTTACCTTTGGTGGTGTCAGGGAAAGGAATGGAATGAGGAGGAATTACATAGAAAGCCTCAAAGCTATAGGTTATCTTTTATTCTGAATCAGGTGATGAATGAAGGGTGTTCATTTTAGTAATATTCTTCTTACTTTAAATATACTCTCTCTACATGTAATATCTTATATCATCCATGTATGTTACACAATATTTCATATATTCAAAAGTGTACACACACACATAAATGTATACCTTTAAATGCATGGGGCATCATATACTAACTTTTATGTGGGAAAACTGAAGAGGAATAGAGAAATATTAAAGTAGGAATAATTGGGGGCGGGGTACGGTGGCTCACGCCTATAATCCTTGCACTCTGGGAGGCTGAGATGGGTGGATTGCCTGAGCTCAGGAATTCGAGACCAGCCTGAGCAAGAGTGAGACCTCGTCTCTAAAAACAGCCAGGCGTTGTGTTGGGCGCCTGTAGTCCCAGTTACTTGGGAGGCTGAGGCAAGAGAATTGCTTGAACCTAGGAGTTTGAGGTTGCTGTGAGATATGATGCCACAGCATTCTACCCAGGGCGACAAAATGAAACTCTGTCTAAAAATAAATAAAGAAATAAACAAACAAATAAATAAAGTAGGGATAATTTGAAAACCTACTGGTAAGACACAGTTCCTAAATTCTGAAACGTAGCTCAACATGTGTAATTCTAGTGATAGCCCTGATGCTCACATTCTGAGTAGTTGAGAATGAGGTGTAGTGAATAATGTTTGCCTAGAGAATGTCCATTTCCTTTCTTATTTCTTCTTCCTTCTTAATAAAAATGCCAGTTTGGGCCAGTCCTGTAATGGCTGTTTCCTGGAAGGCTGTGTCATGTGGAACCTCTTAGCCTTAACATCTGTTCCGGAGCTCCAGAAAAGGAAAAATTTCAAGTCTGATAGAATTATAATCTATATAAACCATTTCCTTGGAACCTTCAGCCCTCAAGATCCCAACATCATGCCTACAGTTTCAACATATTTGATCTTAGTCCTCACTTCACTGCTGTTGGTGTTGCCTGTTGTTGAAGCAGTGGAGGCTGGAGATGCCATGGCTCTGCTGTTGGGTGTAGTTCTCAGCATCACAGGCCTCTGTGTTTGCTTGGGGGGATATGCTCAAAAGAGAAATGGACAGATGTGACTTTGAAGGAGCTCCTGAATCAAACCTTGCCATAAAAACCTTTGTGCTGTTGAGACTAAATCTGAGCTTTGGTGTCTGAAAGTTTCCAAGAAACAGTAAATAGGAGTTTCATATTCTTTGTTGTTTCCCTTAAAATGGGAACAAATTGATACATGAATGGGAAAAAAATGTTTTCTTTACAAGTTATGCACTAAATAATTCAGCCTATACTTTATATGTGCTGGTTAGAAAGGGGGTCAAAGAAGTAAGATGGTTGAAATTTACATAAGTAATTCATAGTTTTAGGATTTTCAAAGCACGTGAGGCAGGAAGAAGGAAGCTTTTGCTCAGAATCCAAGGAAATCTCCACCGTTAAGTTACAGTCACTGCCTCCTGAATTGTTGAGGAGTCTTTTCTCCTTATTTTTATTATATTTTTGTTTTATCACTCAAGTTCATATGGTATTTAGGTATCACATAGCCAAACATTGAAACATTTATCTCTGGGTAAAAAACATTTAGAAAGATGTATTCAGTATATTTAATACTGAAATAGAAAAAAAATTAATGTAAAAACAAAATCCTTTATATTAACATTGAAATGGAGGAGAGATCTAATTTGAAAAAGAAATAAACTATATATTAATTAACCGATTAACATCTCTATGATGACAAGTACTATATTAAATATAAACCCATTGTGTTGTAAGTTGAAAAAAAATGCCAGTTTTGTTAAAATGAGGTTGAATTAAGTGAGGTATGGTGGCTCATGCCTACAATCCTAGCACTTTGGGAGGCTAAAGTGGGAGGATCATTTGAGCGTAGGATCATTTGAGACCAGCCTGAGCGACATAGTGAGACCTCTGTCTCTACATCAGATGAAAAAAAAGTTAGCCAGGCATAATTGTGCAAGCCTGTAGTTCCAGCTACTCAAGAAACTGAGGCAGGAGAATTACTTGAGCTCAGGAGTTGGAGTTTGCAGTGATTATGGCACTGCATTCCAACCCAGGAAACAGAGTGAGAGCCTGTCTCAAAAAAAAAAGGGGGTGGAGTGGGGTGGAATTTGAAAAAAAGTCCCAGTTTTACGTAAGTCTCTATATTTCCCCTTAAATATCACATGTTACTCAGAAAAAGCTAGTTCCAAGTCCAGGAGTAGGCCCCAATTAGTCCGTTATGGTGATATCATCCCTCTTACAATTTATTGGTTCAGAGATTCTGGATTAACCTAATTAGCATATGGCATTTCTTTGGCCATCTGCTATGGTTTAAATATTTGTCCCCTCCAAAACTCACATTGAAATCTAATCCGCTGTGTAGCAGTATCAAGGGATGGGGCCTTTAAGAGGTGACTGGGTACCCGCAGAGTACTAGGAGTACAGATGTGAGCCACCATGCCCAGCCTGGTTGTTTTTTATCACTATAGCTTGTGATGGGTTTTCCTGTTACTATTTTTCATATAGCCAAATTTATCAGTCTCTTATCTGAGTTTTGTGTTGTGATTAGAAAGGTGGACTTGACAGTTATAAATGAATTCTACTGTTGTTTCTTCTATTACTTTTATGGTTTCATGTTTCCATTAAAATCAAATGATAAATGCCTGATGGATATCCCCTCCCAAAAAAAGAGGTGACTGGGTCATGTATGAATGGATTAACCCTTTATGGGTTAATAGATTAGTGGATTATCATGGGATTGGAACTAGTGGTTTTATAAGAAGAGGAAGAGAGATGGGAGTTAGCGTAATACTCAGCCCTTGCAATGTGATGCCCTATGCTACCTCAGGACTCTGCAGAGTCCCAACCAGTAAGAAGGTCCCTCACCAGATATAGCCCCTCAGCTTTGAACTTCTAAGCTTCCGTAACTACAAGAAATAAATTCCTTTTCTTTTTAAATTACCCAGTTTCAGATATTCTGTTATAAGCAACAGAAAACAGATTAAGGCTGGGTGTGGTGCTAGGATCACACCTGTCATGCTAGCACTACTCTGGGAGGCCGAGACAGATGGATTGCATGAGCTCAGGAGTTCCAGACCAGCCTCAGCAAAGCAAGACCCCATCTCTACAAAATAGAAAAACTATCTGGGCGTTGTGGCAGGCACCTGTAGTCCCCAGCTACTTGGGAGACTGAGACAAGAAGATTGCTTGAGCCCAAGAGTTTGAGGTTGCTGTGAGGTATGACACCACAGCCTTCTACCCAGGACAACAGAGTGATAGTCTGTCTCAAAAAAAAAAAAGAAAAGAAAAGAAAAGAAAAGAAAAAAAGAAAGAAAAAGAAAGAAAGAAAAGAAAAAACGGATTAGGATACCATCCTAACAAAAAGTTCTTCAATCTCTTTCATTTTGTTTATTTTGAGAGTTTTGTGGCTTCACAAAGTCTATTACAAATCAGTGTGTTATAATCTGTTGCTGTAGTTATTCATTTTGATGTTTAAATTATTTCAAATTTGACCAACAGGATCCTTTTCAAGTTGATTCCAGTTTCTTCTGATTTGTCCCTAATTAGATTTAAGGAGTTCAGCTTGGCACCCGTAGCACAGTGGTTACAGCACCAGCCACATACACCAAGGCTGGTGGGTTTGAATTTGGCCTGGCCAGCTAAACGATAATGACAAATGCAATAAAAAATATCTGGTTAACCAGTTTGATGGAAGTGTTTTGGATTGTGTGTGAATACCCTACACTGTACCCCAGAAGTGCATTAATGTACATAGTTACCATTCAATAAAAAAAAAAAAATAGCTGGGCATTGTGGTGGGCACCTGTAGTCCCAGCTACTTGGGAAGCTGAGGCAGGAGAATCGCTTAAGCCTAATCGTTTGAGGTTGCTGTGAGCTGCCACGCCATAGCACTCTACTGAGGGTGACATAGTGAGACTCTGTTTCAAAAAAAAAAAAAAATTTAAGAAGTTCCTTGCATTTTTACATAACTTAATTTTTATACCATAAAAGTTTCAGGGCCCCCACTGATCTTTCTATTTAAAAAAACCCTAAAATGCCATTGAAATGCTTAAATAAGTGCAACAAAGTGGTTTATGTCTGTAATGCTAGCACTCTGGGCGGCTGAGGCGGGTGGATCTCTTGAGCTCAGGAGTTTGAGAATAACCTGAGCAAGAGCAAGACTCTGTTTCTAATAAATATAGAAAAAGTAGTCAGACTTGGTGGCAACTGTAGTCCCAGCTTCTTAGGAGGCTGAGGCAAGAGGATTGCTCAAGCTCAAGAGTTTACTATGAGCTATGGTGATGGAGCACTCTACCAAGGTGACAGAGTGAGACTCTGTCTCAAAAAGAAAAAAAAAAAAAAGATTAAGCAAAGTACTTTTAAAATCTTCTGGAATGTTTTCATGAGCTAGGAGGAAAATTTGGAATTTTCAAGCTATGAGACAATGAAGGTAAGAACACAGAATGATAAGCAGAATATTGAAGCCAGAATTTGCCTTGAAGATTTTTGCCTAATCTTTGTATTTTTAAAATTTTTAAAAATTTAATTTTAAATTAATGTACAGGTGCATGTGATTAGGTTACATTGTCTGCATTTGTTAGATAAAGTCCAAGTTGTACATGAGCCCTTCACCCAGACTGTGTGTGTGTGTGTGTGTGTGTATGTGTATATATATGTTTTTTTTTTTTTAAAGACAGAGTTGCCCTATGTCACCCTCAGTAGAGTGCTGACGTCACAGCTCACAGCAACCTCAAATTCTTGGGCTTAAGCAATTCACTTGCCTCAGCCTCCCAAGTAGCTGGGACTACAGGCACACACCACAATGCCTGGCTATTTTTTTGTTGTTGTAGTTGTCATTGTTGTTTAGCTGGCCCGGGCTGGGTTCAAACCCGCCAGCCTCAGTACATGTGGCTGGTGCCATAACCACTGTGCTATGGGCTCCAAGCCCAGGCTGTATATGTTACATTGTGCCCATTAAGTGAGAGCTCACCACTTCTCCTCTCTCCTCCTCCCCCCTTACTGAGTTTAAATGTGCTTTTCTTTTGTGTGTGTGTGTAGTAGTTCATCTATTAGTTTCATATTGGCATTGAGTACATTGGATACTTGCTTTTCCATTCTTGGGGTACTTTACTTAGGAGGATGCTTTCCAAAACTACCCAGGTTAATATAAAAGATGTAAAGTCTTCATCTTTCTTTCTGGCTGAAATACTCCATGGTATACATATACTAAATTTTATTTATCCATTCATGGGCTGATGGGCACTTGAGTTGTTTCCACATCTTTGTGATTGAAAATTAGCATCAATTTTCTTGTCAGGGTTAGAGGGGCTGCAAATGGTTATGAATTCACAGGGTATAGGAGACAAAACAAATAAGACCCTGCTTTATTCACAGCTTTAGAGTAAATCAGAAATCTCTCCTTTTCTAGGGCTTTGAGGAAAGTTGCCCATTTGGGGGACCCAGTAGAGTCATTAGAGAAACAAATAAAAACAAAGTTGTTCATTTTGAACTTTGGTATCAAGGGATGTTTCATGAGAATATATAACAAGCTGTCCTTTAAACTGTTTTTAGCTCAAGTTCCAGATTGATTGAAAAACCCTACAGCCCAGAATTTAGTTGACTGTTATTGCTAGGAGCTTCAGAAGTGTGACAGATTGACTGAAAAACCCCTACAGCCCAGAATTTAGTTAACTGTTATTACTAGGAGCTTCAGAAGTGTGACAGAGGTAAACTCATTCATTTTGGGAAGAACTTCATCCTAGTTCTCAAAACATTTCCCTAAGAAACCATTCTAAGGAAAGCAAATCACTAAACACACAAGAAAATGAGAAAAAAAAATGAGTACCAGAAGAAACAATAAAGAGAAGAATGAGACATTTGATGGCTTCAGGTATTGGAGTTATGAGATATCAAAAATAAAATAAGAATGTTTGGGCTGGGTGCAGTGGCTCACACCTGTAATCCTCGCACTCTGGGAGGTCAAGGTGGGTGGATTGCTTGAGATCAGGAGTTTAAGACCAGCCTGAGCAAGAATGAGATTCCCATCTCTACTAAAAATAGAAAAACTAGCTGGGTATTATGGTGGGTATCTGTAGTCCCAGCTACTCAGGAGGTCAAGGAAGAGGATCACTTGAGCCCAAGAATTTGAGGTTGCTGTGAGCTATGATGC